AAAATTAATAACACAGACACAGAAAGTGCCTACAGGCCTTACTACAGTCAGAGTATTCTTTTTTTGTCTGGGGGGGGGGCGGTTCGAGACAGGGTTTCTCTGTGAGCCTTGGCTGTCCTGGAACTTGCTTTGTAGACCAAGTTGGTCTTGAACTCACAGAGATCAGCCTGCCTCTGCCTCCAAAGTACTGGGATTAAAGGCATAAGCCACTACACCCAGCTAAGAGACATTCTTAAAATAATATTTAAACTGACAATTATAAACTATCAGGCAAAAATCTGCTGTCAGTCTAGGGCCTATCAAAAAAGTCTGGAGTGAAAACCAAGGGCAGTTGGTGTTCAGATAGGAGTGCCACAGCCAAAGGCTAGACCCAGACCTATGGACTGGAGACATGATCTAGGGCTTTGTGTGATGCTGAAAGTGATGGGAAGACATGGCAAGTGTTTTCAGGGCAGCACCATGATGTTTCTATAGCTTTAACATGTAGAAGTAGCAGTGGGACTCTGGGGAGGAGGTCTTGAGTGACCTAAGTGACAGAGGACAAGGTGATAAAGTGAGGATAGGAAGAAGGAGGCAGATTCACAACCACAGAGATTGCTGAGAGTGAGGCGGAAAGAAGGTCAAGGATGACGCCAGATATTACTGATCCTTTGGCAGTCTGTCCTGTCAGATCATCCTTAGTAACGCTAGGAACACACAGGCATACATACTCTCACTGAAGACTCACATGGTCCTAGTAGTGAAAATACAATATATTACTTCCTTTACAGACCTGGAAGTCAAAGCACACTTAGGTAAGGTAAGCATGGTGACTAAGCTGAATCCTCCCCTCAATTCTGCACTGCCTATCCAGGACTGTAATGAAAACCGGATATGAAGGAAGAAGGTCATGGTGTTTCTGAAACAACAATAGAAACCCTACCTAAGATACTTATCCTATGATCTCTTTTGATCAAGACCCTGGAAGAACATCATCTATGGGAGACCCTCAATTTCTTATAACCTTTCACTGACCTTCAAGAGCTAAATGTGAGCAGTCATCAAATACAGGCTCCCATGGTCCTTTGATCTAAGTGCTAGCCTGGGCTAAGACGAGTGGATACAACTTTCCCCATCACAAAGTCAAACTCTGGGTGGCACAGGAAACCCAAACCAGCACTTCAGTCACTGCTCTTCCACAACAGTTTGAATCTACTTATTCACTCCAATCTGCATCTCTTCAATGAAATTATTTGTCAGCTTTGAGCATCTAGTTATACTCGGCCACTTAGTACACTGCAGTCTCATACTCTTTAAAGTGTGTTCCTCCCACACTCAGGCGGCACAGGCAGGTAGATCTCTGTGCGTTTGAGGCCAGCCTGGCTTATGAGCAAGTTCCAGGACAGCCAGGGCTACACAGAGTTAAACCCTGTCTCAAAACCTTTTTTTTCTTTAAACCAGGTAGGGTGACTTACACCTATAATCTCAGTAAACAAACAAACAACCAAAAATGAGTTTGTTTGAAGAACAAAGCTTCAGGAGGTGTGCCAAGATGGTTAATTAGAAACAACTGTCGTGTGATGCCAGGTACTGAGAAAATTGAGGGCAATGAGGATATACTCTAAATTGAAGAGATTTTAAAAAAAAGGGAGGGGGGCGGGAAACGCCAGAAAGCACAGAGATCACAGGACAAGTGTCTTAGGGTTTCTATTGCTGTGTTGAAAACAGCATGACCAAAAAGCAAGTTGAGGAGGAAAGGTTTTATTCTGCTTATACTTCTATATCGTTGTTCATCTTTGAAGGAAGTCAGAACAGGAACTCAAATAGGGCAGGGACCTTAGGAGCTGACACAAAGGCTATGGAAGGGTACTGCTTACTGACTCACTCCCCATGGCTTGTTCAGTCTACTTATAGAACCCTGGACCACCAGCCCAGGGGTGTCACCACCTACAATGGGCTGGACTCTCCCCCACCAATCACTAATTAAGAAAATGCCTTACAGCCTGATTTATGGAGGCATTTCCTCAATTAAGGTTCCCTCCTTTCAGATAACACTAGTTTGTGTGTCAAGTTGACATAAGACTAGCCAGCACAACAAGTGAAAAGTCTGGATTAAAAAAGGCTAAGCAGTGAAAGACATAACTATTTACCCAGTTTCTCAGCAGCAGAGAAGGAGTTATCTTGAGTAAAAACCAACAAAGAAACTTCAGAGTCTAATCTTGCACCAAAGGTCAAGTGGATATAACAGACATCTACAGAACATTCTATCAAACGGATTACTCATTCTTTTTAGCATCTCATGGACCTTTATCTAAAATAAGTCACATTTTAAGCTATTAAATAGGCCTTAAAATGTTAAAAAATCAAAATAATTTCTTGCATCATGTCGCACCATCTTTGAATAAAATAAGAAATTGATAGCATGAGAAACTATACAAATATACAGAGAATGTACACTATACTCTTGAATGGATAATGGGTAACTAAAGAAATAAAGAAGACTAAAAAGTTCCTGGAATCAAATGAAAATTAAGTCACATCTTTTCTACTTCCCCTTCCCAGGGAAATTTATGCATCTCTCTTTGGGCCCTCCTTGTTATCTAGCCTCTCTACGGCTGTGGATTGTAGGCTGGTTATCCTATACTTTACTTCTAATATCACATATGAGTGAGTACACACCATGTTTGTCTTTCTGGGTCTGGGTTACCTCACTCAGAATGATTTTTTCTAGTTCCATCCATTTGCCTACAAATTTCATGAGGTCATCGTTTTTTAAAACTGAATAATACTCCATTGTGTAAATGTACCACATTTTCCCTATTAAAATCTTAGTGCTCGTATTAAAAGCTCAGAGAAATCTCAAATAAATCATTTAATAATGTACTTCAAGATACATTAAATAAGGACAAGTCAAGTCCAAAAGCAATAGATGAAATAAATAATAAATGAAAAGGAAACTAAAAGAACAATGTGAAATAGCATCAAAATAATTAAAAAATAAATAATATCAACAAATACTTACCAAACTAATCAAAAGAAATGAGAAGAAGACCCAAATGAATAAAATTAAAGATGAAAAAGGGTGATATCTATAAGCTCCAGAAGAGCATTAGGGAATAATTTGAAAGCTTACATCCCCAAACACTGGAAAAACTGATAAATTCCTAAATGCATGCAACCTACTCAAACAAACCTAAAAGGATTTAAACAAACAGTTCTATAACAAGCAATAAGATTGAAAGAGTAATACAGAATCTCCTACCCAAGAAAAACTCAAGAAGGAAGTGTGACCAGGGAGACGGCTTAATGGGTAAGAGTGCTTCCTGTACAAGCATGAGTAACTAAACTCAAATTTCCAGCACCCACATAAAAAGCCAGGCATGATTGTGTGTGCCTGGAATCCCAGCACTGGGGGCAGAGACAGGTGGATCCTGGGAATTCTCTGGCCAGCCAACCAAGCAGAAATGGTGAGCTTTCTGGTCCAGTGAGAAACCCTGTCTAAAGTACTAAGTTCCAGAATTATAGAGAAAGACACTTTGCATGTGCCCATGCATGTGCACACATGGCACACACACTTGCACATTGGCATGTATACACCATGCAATACATACTGCACACACAAAAGAAAAAAAAAATGAAAAGCCCAAGATACGTTGAGTTCACTGCAGAATTTTGCCAAACCTTTAAAGAAGAGCTAATGCTTCTCAATCTGTTCAAGAAATTAGAAAAGGAACAAATACTACAAAATTCATTTTGTGAAACTAGTATTTCCTTGATACTGAAACCAGATTAAGGGCATATCAAAAACAACAAAAACTACAATCAGATCCCCTAATTAATATAGTCACAAAACTCTATAAAATAATTGCAAACCAAGTTTAACAACACATTGAAATATCATGCTCCATGACCAAGATGACTTCATTTTTGGGATACAAAGATCATACAATATAACAAATAAAAATCACATGGTTATGTCAATGGATACAGAAAGTATCTTTGACAAGGCTCAAGATTTCTTCATGATAAAAGCTCTCAAGAAACTAGAAACAGAAGAAGTATACCTCAATATAATAAAGGCCATATATAAAAAACCTATAGCTACATTATATTAAAATCAGAACAAGAGAAGAGTGTCTATTATCACAACACTTCATCAGTATAGTGCCTAGTCTTACTTAGATTATTAAGACAAAAAGAAAAAGAAGAAAAAGGAAAAGGAGAACAACAAAAGAGAAAAAGTCAAACTATCCCTTTGCCATGTGACTGTTTGCCTGCCATTTGGCTGCTCGCTGAACTCCATGCCTAACTCAGAATGGCCTGATTTTCTCTCTTCCTCTTCTCTGGCCCCCTTCTTCTGCCAGCTTCTGAAATTTCTGGCTTATATGCTCTGTTTTCTTCTAAACACTAGCAAAATTGTTCTTGAACTAAAAACAACAAAACAAAAACAAACTGGGCCAAGGAGTTACCTGAATGGCTGAAAGTGCTTGTTACACAAGCCTAACAACCTGAGTTAGAGGCCCCAGAAGCTCTGTAAAGAGTCAGATTCAGAAACTAGAGCAATGAATGCCTCTGTGGCTAAGAGTGATTGCTGCTCTCACAAGGGACTCAGTTTAGTTTCTGGCACCCACACTGAGTGGTTCACAATTGCCTGAAACTTCAGTTCCATTGGATCCAACTTTCTCTCCAGTCTTCCATAGGTACCTACAGTCATCTGTACAGACACACAAATATGTACAGACACACAAACACACATACATACTCTCTCTCTCTCACACATACACTCACATACACAACACACACTCTTAAAAAGATCAAAATTGCATCAAATTATCCTTTGGTGAAATATAGCCAGTTAGATGTTCCTGGAGGGCAGCTACCTGCCCATCTCTTGGTGCACAGCCAGGAGCATAACCTTGGATGGGACCACCATATCTTTAGGGTCTGCTGCCAGCACAGAAGAAAGCTTTTTACCTTATGTAGATACATGAGCATGTCAGAAGGATAAGCTGGACTCTTACCATGGCCTCTGATGTGGACAGCTGTTTCTGTAGCCCAGTTCTGGGAAGATGCTGCCTCTGACTTAACAGGTGCAGCTTCAATTTGCCAAAGAGGATCTTCAACAAAAGCATGTGTGAGAAAGATTCAGATTTGAGAAAATAAACATAACCATCACATTTACAGCCACTGGCCTGAAGACATACACTGAAAAGAGGCTTAGCTCCTTTAGAAGGACTTTTACTTAATGTATCACAAAATGTTCATACTTGTGAGAACATGAATAACGTATCACTTTCAGACAATATTATAAACTCAGAATAAACCATCTTTTAATTTGTGAGTAAGACAATGTTTTGAAAGGACAAAACTTAACATTACCAGCCAGGTATGGTTGTCCTTGGCGTTAATCTCAGTACTTTGGAAGACGGGGTAAGAGGACTGACATGGGTTGGAGTTAGCATACAGCATAGGTTACTGAGTGTGGGCTACAGAATGAGACCCTGTCTCAAAGCAATCAAATAAAATTGAGTCTTACCTCACGAAGCTGATTATTACTCATTATAAGAAACTGTTCTCCTGCAACAAAATGGGCTTCTTGCTCTAGTTCCTTGAGGCGAGCCTGAAAAATTGAAACATTATCATTCATAGATTTTATAATTTAAAAGAATTTAATCTGCTCATCAAGCAACTCTCAACAAAAGCCCTTAATTGAGTAAAAAGTCCTTTACAACTTATCAAAATGATAAAGCATACATACTGACTTGTGGTGGAACTTTCAGGATTTCCCTAAACATAGCTGAAACTAAAATAAGCAAAATGAAGGAGGGAAAGAATGTGTTTTTCAGCAATATTAGAACTAGAAAAGGGATCCAGTTCCATAAGAAAGAGACAGAAAGGGGGGGAGGTATGGGTTACAGGCTTATACCCACAATAGATCAAGATGTTCTGTAAGTCAATAAGAAGAAACAAAAGAATTAGACAAAGGGCTGGTAATAGGTAAAAGCACAAGTCTGATAACCTGAGCTTCATCCCTGAGACTCACATGATGGAAGGAGACTCACATGATGGACTCACACACACACACACACACACACACACACACACACACACACACACAC